TTTTAAGTGGGAGAACTTGCACAATTGGTGGCTGACTAAATACTTTTTTGGCCCACTGTAAAAATGTGTTCTGCACTCTTTAAAATATTGATTTCTTAAGTTTGGGTTGAAAAAGTGGGGGTCGTCTTGTACATGGGGGCGTCTTATTGACGGAAAAATACGGTAGCTAAACACTTTCCATCTGACCTTAATATTTATAGCTGCTCTGTTCAGTGACTTCTTATTTAAATGTATTTAACAGATTTTTCCCCCAAGCTCAAGTGCTGTGTATCCTAGTTTCTACATTGGACAATGTGCTGTTTCAAGGCTGATGTGGAATATAACCACTTCCACAGGGAAGTATTATTGTTTGCCTGCACTTTTCACAGCATAGGGGTGTCTTTTGCTCCAGGGAAACTTCACTTCTTGAAAATATTGCCTTTAATAGCATGGAATTGTGCTATACTTTATTAAAAGGGGAGTGTCCTCTTCACCTTCGACTCTTGGGAAGACTTCTAGGGTAGACACATACAATTAATTGGAAGAATCTATTTCTTGTCATATTATCTATTTGGAAATATCTCATGCATTAGCGGGATAGAAGACTTGTAGAAGAGTGGAAAGACATAACATAACAATATGTGATAGATTGTATTATCTGCCTGTAGAAATGGCTTATACAACATTTATTTGAGATTGAAAAATCATTTCTAATGATGAGCTCTATGAGAATTTGTAAACTTCCTAAGGGTGTGTGGTTGTGGAGGATATGAGAATATCACATATATATTGGTGATCTCTCCTTGTGTGTGTATATGACTCCAGATTTATTACTGGGATAACGTGTGGATTTAAATCTGATTTTATTTTTTAGGATTGCTAGAGAGGGGACAAGGTATCAAAAGACTAAGTTCACTGGATGACAAGATTCCACCTAAATCACCCCGACCACGGCGCAACATCTGGCTATCACGTAGTCAGTCAGACATCTTCTCTCGGAAACTTTCCCGCAAGATAAATGTTCAGGACCCATATTATACGCCAAGCAAAGGGGCAAGTCGAAAAGTCAACCCCTTCAATTCTAGAGAAGACTTGAAAGGGGGAAAGATAAAATTTTTTGACTTGCCTAGCAAATCTGTGATATCATTTGTATTTGACCTGCACTCTCCAGAAGCAAGAGGATGTCTAAAGATGAGCCAGCCACTGTTTAAGCAGACCTTTGCCTGTGATTGGCAAGAAGCCTCTTTCCTTCCTGGGAGGCGAAGCAGATCACTTCCAGTTTCTCCTGAATTTGTCCATAAAGATTATAGTACATTTGGCGATCTCTCTTCAACAGTTAGTAGGTGTGATCCCACCCAGCTAGGGGCTGAGGTGCGACAGAAGCTACTAAGCAGTAGTAAGTATGGTGTATCCGAGATCCCTCCTTTTCAGGTTAAACAACGCAGGCAGGACTCTCATCCACTTCTGCAAGAGGAGGAAATGGACTGTTCTGATGAACTGGAGGTTCAAAACAAAAATGGGTATTCTTCTGTAAAATGTTCAGCCGAAGAGCCAGAACTTGGAAAGCCTGAGGGACAAGTGCTGCAAGATTCTGGCCATGTGGCTAATACCTTGGTACACAATTTAGACTATCCAGAAAATCGATTCTCAGAGATGTTCATGAGCTGCACCACCTCTGAAGAAATGGAGGTGGAAGATGAAACTCAAAGGAATATGCATTCCACTAAGTTGGAATCTTCTAAACGGTTGTTCAGTGTTAATCCTTCCTCACAGCCAGGCAGAGAATCCACCTTCCTTGAAGTGGTGGGTAGTGATACTTCAAATGTTTCTCTGCTGCCTTCAGACACACCAGCATCAATAAGTGGACAGCCAAAATGTGACATTTAAAAGCCAACCTTTGGATGATGATGATGATGATGATGATGATGATGATACACTCCTTCCAGCTACTCTGGTTTTAACTTCCTATGTCAAATGTCCCTAAAACAGTGTACCAATGTAGCCAGCCCATTTAAAAGTTCTAAAATGTACTGAGAGATATTGTATGCATGCAAGAATGTGTGAGAAGCGCTCTTAGCTTACCTCAGGAAGAAGCTAATATAGAAATAAGAGGTTTGCTGTTGAATGCCTGATTCATGCAGGGTCACAGTTATAAAGGTAATGGGATTATGGGCATCTATTTTTCTATTTGTGTTACACATACTGTTTAGGTTCTGTTGAATATTTTTTTTAAGAACTCAGTATCTCTGAACCTTCAAAATCTTTATCTCATTGGCCATAGAAATGCTGAGCAGCAATAAATATTTACTTATGTGGAATATATTAAAATTAACAAGTACCCTGAGTTGGGGGCAGGCTGTCCTAGACCAGTCTTACCCTGGGCAATCTTCAAATATGGAAAATTTAAATCCCAGTGTTCTGAGTAATATCCAATGCTGGAATATTTTGGGAATTGAAGTCTGTACTTTTGGAGGTTGCTTAAGGTTAGAGACAGCTGATTTAGACATTGCTGAACTATAGCCACAATAGTTTTGACCATTAACAAGGGCTGATAGAGTTGGAGTCCAATATCACCACAGGTTACCCAAAGATGTGTGCAAGACTTTCTATGATAGGAATTCGAGTCTCAAAAACAGCCACTCCCAAAGTGGTTCAACACTTCAAACCATTTCTACAACACTTGAAATAGCTTGCCCCATGATTGGAAGAAACCATTTTGGGATTGGTTCACTTCCAGAACACTTGGAACATCCTGTTCTGGATCAAAATGTTCCAAAATAGAATATTTTGCACCTGCTAGTTCCCCACTCTTGCTGTAAATGAACAGGAAGAATGTGGCTCTGAATTCTCTTGAATTTATTAAACAATATGAGATTTGGCTACAATAGCTTTCCTACCTTTTCCAGTCCAGTTGCAAACAATGGAGGCACTGAGTATATTCCTACTTTAGGCATTCCTTGTTAAATTATTTTCTTGTCCAGTTTCTATTTGTTGGTAAGGAAATTTTCCATCAGCAGTTTTACTGAAGGAACAGTAGAGTTCCTTTGTTGAATAAATTGTTCATAAAACAAAAAGAATGAGATGAATATTTTCAGCTCTTCAATATCCTCATACCCTTTGTTGTAGAAGGCATGAAATGTATGACCATCAAATGTTTGGCAAGGAAGAACTAACTTCAACATCTTTAAAATCCAGGTTTGCATGCATCTCTTCAGTCTGTCCATGTGGTTCACTCACATGGAAACATGGTCTATGTGTACAATTCATAGAACTTCTGTAGATAAGTTGGTTGAGATTTCTCAAATGGATGGTGAGTCTTCAAGCGTAGCTGCAGAAATAGCATATCCACTCTGTACTAGCCTCTCTTTTCACATCCAGGCCAGCATTGCGTGCTCAGAACTTAGTAGAGGTTAATATGGACTATGTAAAAAGGATTAAACCCCCAAATCTTGCCTCTAGTTAGATTACACTTGAACTCCCCTGTGTAGGGGAAATTAATTCTGGTGAACATAAATTCCCTCATATTCATTCCTCAAAACTCAACTAAAGAAAGGGCAAATCCTCACAAAATATGAAGCAATAAAAGTAGGGTCACAAATTGGTTGAAATCTGACAACAGTCAACACTTTTGCAAGCTACTTATAGAAGTTCATGATATCCTCAAGTTCCTTCCAGTAGCTGGAGAACAAAAAATTATCTTCTCAATTGTTCATTCAAAAATTTCTAAAGTAGTACCACATTCAAGTTTAGTTGTTTCCTCTTTCAGATTAATGATGAAGAATCCCCAAATAGTTATTATCAGGCTGCTTTATTTAAACAATTAAAAAATATAACCACTTAAACAGGTGCTGCACTTTTGAATTTGGTACTATTTCCCTCCACCCCATCCAAGGCAAAATAATGTAATTTGTGCTTGGCTAGGAAAAGCACCAAGCATGTGATCTGTTTCAGAAGCCATTTCACTTCCAGAAAATATCCCACTACTTTGCCCACATTAGTTTATGACTTGCTCTGCAGATTCCACTCTTGTAGGCTTTGGATGTCTTACTGCTTGTGAAGGGTAAATGTGACAAATTACTTCTGCTCTGGTCACAATTCCCCCTCCCCCTTGTGCATTTTCCTGTTTTCTTACAGGCTCTAAGACGTGGTACCTTTTGCTGTTAGTGGGGTGATGAATGATTCCTGCAGTTCTGTTTTCTTAGAGTATTAGTGATAATCTAGGTCCTTTATCCTGATGCAAAAGTAAGTCTTTCTAGACTACAATTTAATAGAAGAGGTTGGCTTAGTAGGAGCTTGGGAAAGCAAATTGCTGAGTTATTGGATGGTTAAACATAAAGATAACCTATCCTCTTGTACAACATGTAAACACTGTTGGTATCACATCCTTTGGGTATACCATGGAAAACCAGCATTGCAGAGCAGCTGCTGGCCATCATCTGTACTCTATACAGAATGTGGCCAAATAAATGAATAATTTGTACAAACACAATACTACATAGTTTTGCTTTTCAACATATTTGATTTGCTAACAAAGATGCATATTGCTTTTGATAAACCACCTGAAAACACTTTTAAGATCCTCAGTCTATTTTTAATTCATTATTTTTTCTGAATTACATTTAATAAGCATATTAGAGGATATTCATGTAGCCAACTGATGAAAGACTCTGTGAATATATGTATGTAACAAATTGATGCCTGAGTAGAAAAGAGATGTATGATGGATTCTTGGTTGCTGGATCTTGTCCAAGAACACTGGTATTTCTTGCCAGTTTAACTAGACACTTGAATAATTCCTCTTTGCACTTAATGCTGCTGTTTATACTGCATGTCACTACATTTCTATGCAAAAATAACCTTTGAGGTAGCCAAATATTTGATTTAAGGTTTATAGATCTTTATAAGATCTATTTTCATATTTATGAAGGAATTTTATGTCTTAATATTTGCAGTCTGTAAATAGCTAAACTTTGTCATTAAAGCTTAGGAAGAAAATTTATAGCATGTGTATAATTTAACACTGCCAGGAGAAGGATTTTTGAAAAAGCATTTTTCTAATACTTCAGATATTTATGAATGTTTAAAGAAAACAAATCTTGATTTGTATGTGTTGATTCATATTGTCTGATTTCCACCCCTTAGAACTACATAAGCAGTATGTTTTGCTGGAACTGAAAAAAGTAACCAAAGATAAATGTAGTTTAAAATATCTGCAAGTTTTGTCAGTTTTTGTAAACCATTCCCCAGTTCACCTTCAGAATAAAAGCAAGTATGTTTTTGTGGTTGAGAAGACAAAACTAATGACCCCAAAAAAGGAGGAATGTAAAATGCTTCTAAACAATTTCTGGGAAAGACCTATTCTGATTTCATATTCACACATTTCAGTATTTGCTGATAAAGTGGTAACTTTTTTTCTGTTACACAGTCAGATTCCAGAAGTTTGTCTCATTTCATAAGGAATTCCTTATTGTGCTTTCACTTGTTTCAGATTTCTATTTGTGTATTCACCAACAATTAATACTAACTGGTTGTAAATTATCCTAACATTTAAGTGTTTCCAGACAAGACACACCACATTTCATAGTATGTAAACTGCAGTTACCCTACATTAAAAAGATAGTAACTTAAGCCAATGTCATGTTTTCATGTTGGTAAGTTAAATGCTTTCAATATGGCCAACTAACAAGGCATGGGGCAGTTGTCCTGTTGAGCCATGGCTAGTCAAAGGCATTTGCATTTGTGGATTCCTTTATGCTACAGACCAGTGCTCTATTAATTTGGTTATTTCCACTTTCAAAGTAATCTGTGTATCCATCTTGAAGTCTTCAAGTTAACTGCATGTGTGAAGGACAGAATTGCCAGTCACTTTCATTAAATGATTCGAGGTTCTATTTTGAGGAAAAAATTATCCTTGCTCTTCTAACACACCACCCTGTTTCTATACCACCTTAAAGAAAAGACAGTAGAAAGATCTGAATGCTTTCATTTTTCCTTACACTGAAAGTTCTTGATTGTTTTGGTTGCTTTTTCTTCCCTTCCAGATTACACATTTAAGAATTATCCTTGGAATATCAAATATGTTTGCAGTAAAGTTGAATACAAAATTATAGTTTTATTCAATTCCTTCTGAAGTCATTCCTGGAATAAGATTTGTAAGCATTAACATTTATCTAAAATTTATTTCTGTGCTATTGTTGCATCACTTTACATTTATTTCAAATTTTCTTTGCCATTTTGCTAACCATTCCCACATGTTGATAACATCTGGCTAGAGCTATCCAGTTAGCCTGAGTTTTTTTCCTGATTTAGTATTAATGACAAGCTTTAGCTACTTCATTGCTCTTCCCAACTCAGCAGTTTTTAAAAGGTTGTACATCATTGGCCCCACTAATGTTATCAAATAATGCTTTCCAGCAATGTATCTGGAACAGATAGACTGATAAATCAATCATTTTCTAGTTTCCAGGAGATCTCATTACTCTGTTTTGTTGTGTGTAACTGAAATACATAACTATGTGATCTGTATTGCAATAAGCCTTGCAATAATAGATTAACAGGTAAAAAGCCTCTAGTCTGTCAAATAATATTTTGAGATATGAAGACATTATTTGATAAGTGAAACACCAATACTTTATTTAAATAAAGATTGGTGATGGCTGAGAATACAGATATTTACATCCCTTTGAATTATTATACTAGAACAGGGCTGAGAGCATATGGCCTTCCAGATATTGATTTATAACTTTCCATCTCCATCCTGCATTAATGTTTTTTCTCAATAGGTAAGTAGCTTAATATGCATTTGAAAAATAAGACAGCAGAAAAACTGTGAAAAAGGTATCAAGCAATTTGGCTTTAATTCCTTATCTCTTCCTTAACTTTTTGTTATCCCAACTTCAGGATTTTTTAGAAAAAATAATTAAAAACAAAACAGTGCAATGTAAAATGTGTAAGGACAATCTAGAAGGCATCTTTCCAAAGGATATCCAGAAAGAGGAGAAGCCATGAGTGTTTGTTTATAACAAACTAATACAAAAATCATATATCATCAAATGTTATGGTAGTCTAGACTCAATTAGATTTCCCAAGCCTTGAGAGATGTGTGGTTGATTTAGATGGCTGCAATCTCCCTTTGTGCTACTATAAAAATAGATGAATTTCTATTTGGTACACCACATTTGCATTCCCATTCCCATTCCCCAATACAAAAGGCCTCACAAAATTTCATGAACTTTGGCTAGTAATTTCAGGAATGCATTCCACATCTTTCAGACAAACTCATGTATGTTGAAAAACTCACTCTACCTCATCCTTGCCAGTGAATGAAGGAAGAATATGACTCAAATAGGTGTCAGTGGGCTGTCTTCAGTGCAGATTTTCAAATACATGTGGATAGTGCTTTAATAGGTTGCTTGCTCCACATTCCATTGTTAGTGAAATACAAGCTTGTCACCTTTGTTAGTCTAAGGCCAAGTGATCCCTTATAGTGGTTATCTACAAGCCATCTGTAAAACATGAAAATGTTTGTGGGAGCTGGGTGGTCTGAAGAGAAGCTATACTTCCATTTGCTTAAACACAAGTACTGCTCTCTGTGCAATCTGAAAGCCTAATAAAGCAGGTGCTAGATTGCATGGAAAACCATAATAACTCCTTCACAATACCTGCTGAATATGTGGAAGTCAGAGAGCAGGGGATGGAGCCAGCTACCTGACCTTATGAACATTAGGATGGAGGATGGTACAAGGCATCTGAAAAAGCATTTCCACAGTGCCCATTGGTACAAATAAAGCATCTCTCTGAATTGTTAAGGCAGCTGAAAGTTTACAAGACTGCTCTGAAAGCTGACCCCAGCTGTCTCACGCATGTACAGCACAACCACTCCAAAAGAGGCATCTCGTGTGTGTGCACATACAAGTGGGGAACAACTTTCAAAGTGGTGCATGAGCCTTGTGCAGCTTTCTTAAGTATTTGAAAAGAAATGCTTCATCTGCAGTATAAAAGTTCTATCCTTCATGGGAAAATTCAATACATAATTTTGCAAACATTTAAAATTAAATCCGCATACAGGCTGCTGCACTTATTCTATCAATTCCTATAATGTCTGTATAGCATCTCTGAGGATTGTGGCTTCAAGAAAACAACTGCTGGGAATAGCATTATCTGTCATCCTGAGTAGCACGGCATCTGCTTCTAACTACTGTCCCATACCAATTTCATCTTTTGATTGTGGGCTTTGGAGGATTTAGAAAACAAACTTTTCACAATCTGCAGAGGCATAGACTTTCCACTAAGGTACAGTTTGTTGTGGCAGTCTGGCAACCAAGGCCCTTCATCTGAGTTTCTCTGTTTATCGTTCTTCAGCATCTGCACGTACGCTATAACGTAACCTGTCATGAAGGCATCAAAGCCAGCCCGGTGAATACTCCCACGTGAACAGTTAGGTGGTGCTACATTACCTGTGACAGGCAAAGAGGTCACTGCAGAATCACTCTGTAATGGGGCTTTTGGCTCTGCTCCTTCACTTCCTATTGCCTTTTCCTGCTGGCAGTCTTTGAGTAGTGAGGAAACGACACACTCATTATCTGTGGCAATGGCAGCATTTCCTTCAACACTAGCATCAGCTCCACTGTTGGAAACTGGTTCTTGTTCCACATCCATTGAATTCTCCTCATTACCAGACAGTCTTTCTGCATCTGCACTATCTGCAATAGGAGCAATAAAGTTACTAGGACAAGACTGTTTGGAAGGGGAATCTTTTTCCTTATTCCAAGCCAACTTTACATCTTTCACGGGGCTGTTCAATTCAACTTCTTTTGTTGACTCTGCTAAGTTCTTCCGCCGTTTCCATTTTTGCTTTCTTGTCTTCCGCTTCTCTTCTTTTTGATTCTCATCCTCATTAATTATCAGATCAATATTGTGAGACTGTGCACATTTCAGCCCATCTGGGCACCAGCCATAAGCCTGTGAAGAAGAATGAGAACTATTAGCACAGATTAAAAAATTTCTTAAAGCAACTTCAAATTCTGAAAATTTTGCAATGACTGGAATCAAACCAACCTGCTTCCCTAGAAAACAGCAGCATTATATAATAATCTTGATTTCTAAACCTCCTTACTTGGATCCCCAAGGTAGCACTTTCCTGAATGAAGCAAGAACTCCAGAAGTTTCTTTAAAAAAAATGATTTAATCAAGAAAAATCTGCCATCCCTACAGCATATTTTCATGATCAGAATATGATCTGGAGAGCTGATCAAGCAAAATAGACTTCTTTCATCCTGGATAGCTTGTCCTGGTCTGTATCTAACATTTGAGGCACTAAAACTGTTATTTTCAATTTGGTTTTACAGACATTTTTAAGATCCTATAATGTAGAAGAGAGAGTCAATACTTAACCGAAAATGGCTGGCAGATGACAATTTTGTTAGCAATGTCAGTTTGAGCCTGGCTGACATCAGGCAGAGAGCAGAATCTGTATTCAACATAGGCATCTATGCTGGCAGGATAGTTGCAGAATTCTATGCTGAGATATGGTTTCTTGGAGTCTTTCAACCTGAAGTTTTCTCGTTTGCTGAAATTCAAGAGCAGTATTATAATGGCAGATGTGTGGGGAAAATAAGCAGTTTTCAGGACTCACTTTTCTTTTATATATTTGTACAAAAGCTTTAGAGAATGTAGAAAAAGAGCTATGATAGAAAAAGGAATCAATTCAAAACACAGAACTCTCATTGAGAGGAAAAATAATAACAGAAGTGCTATTGGGTATTGCATTACTTGTCTACTGCTAGAGTTTTACAAATGCAGTTGCCAGTTAACAGTCACTAGTTTTTTTTCCTGATGTCTACCTCGCTGGCCCTTGACTAACATAAGTTAGTCAACCAAAAGTAAAAGTTCCTATCATTCCTACTCCATTCTACCATGTTAATCAAGCAACATTATCCCTGTCTCTTTATCTCATATTTTCTGGGACTCATGGAAAATGTAGAATGCAGAAGATTGACATGCACTACATGCCACACTTATATTAGCAACATGATTTATTCTAAATCAGTAAAAATCTTAACTTTGAGAGTCATCAGAGCACAGAGTGAAAGAAGACATTCACTTCAGGAATAAGAGTAATAAAGTCAGTGGTAACCATAAATAATGGCTAGTAGTAAAGTAACCAAAAGTTTGTGTAAGTTATTTCTCATGTTTTCCCTCCCAGTTAATTTTCACAAAAGAAGGAAATCAGTAAAAAAAGAAGAAGTTGAAACCACCACTTTGGAGCTATGTTCAATTTAAATATTATTTGCCCCACATGTGGACTTTGTGTGAGATGGGCGGCTATATAAATATGATAAACAAACAAACATAAAGGGAATTATCTATAAGGAGATGGAAAATTGCCTCCTGTCCAATGATCTTCTTAACCTTCACCCTACTTGGTCATATGGAAATCAGAACTTCTTGTATATAAACAACAAATGGGACAGGAGCAACAGAACCCCATTGTCTGTTGGGGCATTTGCAGCATATATTTGTTAAGTGATACCTACCACTTCTTATAGGCATACTCTAGGTAAGAAGCTACAAAGCGTGCCTCGAATTCTGAGGCATATTTGGTGTCATAGATGCCAGCTGGGAACATCTCTGAAAGGTCGGCAATGAAAGTGCCCAGATTGTCAGGTAAATGGGCATAGAAGCACTGGTAGAGGAAGACTAAATCAATTAGACCATTGTGCAGAACAATAGGTTTCCTTGCTCGAATTATTTCCAGGAAAAAAGTACGGATTGTCTGGCTCTGATTTTCATTTCCCTGTGAATGAACAAAGTGGAAACAATATTAGTTAAGCATCCTACTATGGAATATGGACAGTCTCATAGATTTGGATAGGCAAATGGGATATCAGGAGGGATCTCCTCCAGACCTATTATCTAAAGTAAATACAATCTAACCTAAAGTATGATAAAGACAATAAAGTTTTGCTTACCATTTATTAGCTACCAACTAAACCATTCATTGAACACAGAGCAACTGTATCCTCTAAACATGGTCTCATCAGTAAGGTCTCCAATCTCATAGAAAAATGCTACTATCGGTAACTATCCTTTCAACAGCCTGACATCACATTTTCATAAAAATCACATGGAACCTTTCTGTCAAAAAGCTTGGACCTGAGTTGGTTTCTAAAGCTGATGTTGAGAGTAAACTTACACCTACCAAGTTATGGAAGAAAATATTCTGGGAAATCTACTAACTAAGAAGCCCAAACCCATTCCCGTTTCTTTCCATCAGACTTAGTCCTTGAATTAAGGAGTCCTTGTACCTTATCATTGCCTCTATGATATGGAATGCCCTGAGAATACTGCTTGTTGAAGTCAAAGCCATGTTGCACCAGGAACTGAACTGACTGTGGTTCAATTATATAATCATCCATACAGAGCAGGGTCAGGTTGTAGATCTGGGAAAGGTACGTGTTCTCCGTCTGCAAAATAAAATCCAACCCAATGAAACTGAGGACTGCAATTACTATTTTGTTGGAGTATGATCTGCCTTATACATGCATTCATATACATGTATACATTTATTGTGCAGAGAGAATCTCCAGCACTGATTTCAGCTATAGTTAGCAGTCTTAGTTGAGAAAGCTGAACAAAGCATAGGATATTTGCTAGTGTCTCTAGCAATGTTTCTGTCTACTCTTTCTTTTTTTGAGAACTGTCTTAAATTTAGCATTCTCTCCCTTTTATATGAATACAATAATACTCCAGAAATCCAAAAGTTTTACAACTAATCCTAGTAACACTATGCATCATACTTAGATTCAGTTTCTAAGATTTGCCTTCAATAGGCTATTCTCCATCATAAGTAGAATTTTCTTGTTCTCACAGAATTATCAACAGAGGACCAGACACCAGATGAGCACCATACCTTGTCAGGGAGGTATTTGAAACAAGCAATTCCAAGAGACAAAATAGAGCGTGTTCTAGCAGCACTGCAAACCGCTTTATATCGTTCTTCAATACACCTGCGAGAAACATTAGCAATTTAATAAGAAGCAAAGACAGTTATAGATAATTTAATCTACAGAGTACATGTTACACATTCATAAGAACCTAGATTCAATCCCGGCATTGAAAACCTCTACCTGAAAGTATAATTGGTATTGTCTACATTGGGCTAGATGGACCAATAGTCTGACCACGTATAAAGTAGTTGCCAATGTTTATTATGATTTCCAATCTGATGACAGGATCTTGTCATTAACCTGAATACATTCCCTGACTTTAAAGATGACAAGATCCTCCCCAATTCCAAGAGTATTAGACGCATGTAATACTGATGCCTACAGTTAGCACAGTCCCTGCTTTTAGAAGGGCCAATTGCTCAAATAATTACATCTTAATCAAGTCATCAGTTCCATCTAAAGCAGGGGTTTCCAACCTGGGGTGCCTGCACCTCCAGAAGGTGCAACTATTTTATGCACTGAGTTAAAAGCTTATTTTAAGTTCAATTTGTTCGCCTGCATTTGAAATTAGACTTCTTCATCTTCATATGTGATATTACTTTTGTAGGGGGGTGCGAACACTAAACATTTCCTAGGGGTGTGGGGCACAGAAAAGGTTGGGAACCACTGATCTAAAGCTTATAGTTATTGAATGCTTCTATCTAGAAATCTGACAGAAGTATGTTCAATTAGTACTGTGAATAAAATATTTTGCTCAACTTAAAGAAATGATCATTCAGAATTTGATACCACTTTGACCATAGTGCTTCAGAAAGGAAAGAGTGGCAGCACAGTACTTACTGATTCAACAAACTCTTCCTTGTTCCAAGCCCACTAAGTTCCTATGGATAAAGATAACACTTTCAGTCTTTCTTAGAAGATACAACTATGTAAAATAATTAGGGATAAGCTGTTACCTAAGTCTCAAGAGTCTTATTGCACAGTTTCCCTTTTCTCCTGTTCCAAAGTTAAAAACAATAAAGAGCAATTCTACCCACCGTGTCAACAGCAATAAAACTAGAAGTTTTGATAGCCAAGAGCATGGATGGCCAGAGCTCCTTGAAATTCTCATCCTGGACATCAATGACAGGCACCCTTAAAGAGGCCATTCTCACATAGCTGTTGGGAACAAGACACATATGATCTGTTATTTTAATAATCCAGTTGTTAGCTTTGTTTTGGGAAAACCATGGTGAAAAAATAAAAGAAGCAACAGGTTGCCAATTAGTCAACTTAAAGAACTGCAACATTTTCAGGTATGTTAGCTGTACCTATGGCTCACTCTTCCATCAAAGCTCAAAAAAAAAAAAAAAAAGAGCTATGATATCTGGTCTACAAGAATCCAAACAACCTACAGTTGAAGGCAGAGATACAGGAAATTTTCTTTACTGCCATCTACGGGTCGTCCGGATTTGTGCAGTGCAGACCTGGTAGCTCTAACAAAAAAAAAGGCAGATTGAAACAATAAGGAAGAACGATACTGGCCACTGTCTAAAAGGGAGCAGACTTTGCGCTCGGCAGAGCTATCTTCTCTGAGTCCCTGGGTACCAACCCGCCTGGGAAAAACCACGTAGGAGAAAAAAAATCAAATAAACAGAACCTCGGAACCTCACATTCGGCTATAGCAATTACTAGAAATTTTAAGATTTTATTTTACCCTTAACAGCTTGTTAGAACTCGTCTCCCGCTGATACCCTCTTAAACTTCCGGCGCGTTATAAACTCAGAGGTCCTTTCCCTGCTGACGGCGCACAGAATTAGCTGTCTATTTAAGTGCCTTTCTTAGATGTTAGCGCAGTTAGGGTTATCTAAACGGGAGTCCCATTCAAATTAATATAGTTAGCAGAAAAAATGAGTGTAGTGTTGCAGCTTTACTAACTCAGACGCTTGAAACGTTTTTCGCTCCCCATACAAAAATACGGGCAATGGGGAATTATTTTTAGCAAGTGCGGTTTCATATAGATTTTTAAAAATTAAACCCAACTTCCGAGGTCATTATAAATTTTCATTTTGCGGCGTATTGAGGCAAATGCTGCGTCCACCTGTCTGCAAGTAGATCCCAGCAAGCCGAGGATAATAGATACAAATGTGCATTTGAAAACGATTTATAAAACACCATATTTAGGCTTGGCAGCTGGCAGACATTTCAATTCAGTTTTACAGAAAATGCTGAGTTAGGAGGAAAGAAAGATTTTCCACTGCAGACTTATCAACTACTCATTTATCTTTTAAAAAATCAGCGTTATACTTTTGCGTTTTGTAATTGTCTGCAGGACAATGAATAAGCACAAATAGACATGCTCACATTTGGTGGTTTTTCGTCAAAGGAACAGCGCTAGCATAATGAGGATTAATTATTTTCCTAACAGGCTTTTTGCTACTAAGACCTTACAGTTTTTCAGTCAATCGCTGGAGAGAAAAGTGATTTCCATGTAATTAAAGCTGGCGGTGAAACTTACGAAAACGGCCTAGAGAAAGGGCTAGTCGCTGCTCCTCCCCGACGCTTCCGCTGCGTTAAAACTTCGCGCCCCCAAATCGCAAAACCTACAGAAAACAACACGGGCTAAGTCTCGGCTCCATTTGTAGCTTGAAATATTAACAGTTGACTAACTGCAGCACAACTTTCAATGGACACCGTCCCCTCCCGCCACTGGCAACACACCTTTTGCACACGGAGTACGAGTTAATTTAGAAAGCGTGCTGACCAGTGTTTCTCAACCTTGCTGGCTGGGAATTCTGAAAGTTGAAGTCCACACATCTTAAAGTTGCCCAGGCTGAGAAACGCTGGCATAGACCCCGGTTGTAGGAAGAAATACGTAAGTAGGCTAAAATCCTTAATTTCTCCTTTACTTTCACTTCCGTCCAAAGAGGGAAACCTAACGATAAAAGAAAGGAAGTAACCGTTGGGGAGTCTAGGTTTTTGTGCTTTCCACGGTAGCGGTGTGGTTGGTGGGCGTTGTATATACCGTTTCCTTTTCAATCTGCGGCTTGTGTAGTTCATGGTTTGTTCCGGCTGGCTGCGCGATGGGCCGGGAGCGTTTCCGTGATGGCTCTGGGGGCCACAAAGAGTCGTACAGATAAGAAGGGGGGAGAGAGAGAAAAGAAAACGTTGTATGCCTTCTTTGAAAGGACGTCTGTTTTCTAATAATAGGTTCATTTTTGAGCGTGTAAGAACGGAACGGTCCTCCTGCACGGATATTGTTTGCACGTGGTGAGGGGAGCCGACGGCTTTGTTAGGCTCGGAAAGGAAAGTAGAATAGTCTGCATTAATTTAGGTTATTGAAGGGAAATCTCACTATTCCTACAAGTAGGAAATTGTTACCATAAAGGAAGATTGCTCTCCCATTCTCCCTGATGTAATTTTTATTTTGTACTCGCATAGAGTTTTGATAGAGGAGAGGGGAAAAAGCTAATTCTTCATTTGCATGGTGAAGTCACTGTACACACTTTGGATGTGTTCACCATTCTTATATGAGTATGTGAGTCCCTTTCAAGCATAATAAAATATTGTTTATAATGCTTGATTTCTCCTTATAGCATTTTTTTTTTCAGATTGCCCACATTTGTAAATTGGGATTGTTTGTTTGCATACTAAATTGGTAGAATTCAGGGTATTTATATAGAGAATTGCAGAAACTGTTACATTTGGTTTAGGAAAGAGTTTGATCTGATCTAATGATAACATACTTTATGTTCTTCTTAGCTTGGCAATGAGTAAACTCCGAATGGCAAAGTGCAGCAATCTGGGAAATACCAAAAATCATCAAAGAAATGTGAAAAAAAGGCTTGTACTTTACAAAGGTACTAGAACTACACAGAGATTTTGCTCAAGAAACAGAAAAATGTCAAGTGTAGTACTGAATAAAATTAAATATAATTTGGAGGATTTATTTCCATTTTGGGATAATCACTCCTAACTTAATCTCAATCTTTTATTTGATTATACATTCTAGTAACAAATTTGAGAGTGAAAATATGAAAACTTCAACAATTTCAGATTGATATGCCCCCTCAGTGTAGCCCAAAGAAATGCCAACTGTAAAAACGCTAATTCCTCTTTACTGCAGAAGTGCCCAGTTCCCAGTCTTCATTTCACACATTCAGTGATGCAGTTGAAATCAAAGACTTCCAGAAGAGACTGCTGTCTTGGTACAATAAATGTAAACGGGATCTGCCATGGAGGAAACTGGTATGGAAAAACAAGGAGAATTTAGGTTGTTCAGAAATGTTCTGTTTTCTTTAAAATAGAGAGCTAATTGTGGCATTGGGTCTTTATTCTTGCTGTTCCTCTGTTACAGGCTGCAGCTGAAGCCGATGATGACAGACGAGCATATGCTGGTGAGAGCAATAACTCATCTGTCTATTTCAGGGGTTGCAAACTATATTATATGGGAACCCCTAAAATAGTTAAAAAATTTTGTGGCCCACCCTCATCAAGAAAACAAATGATTTGATTGGAGTTTGGGTTGGGCAAGAATATTTGAATACAGTTATTAAAGGACATATCTCTTTCATCATGCTTCCTTGATTTATGCTTCTTTTAATCAGTACTATTGGTAGATTGGCCATCTTTTGCTTTTCTCTTTCCACATAGCAAAACTTTTCCTTTTTAAAAAGCTAGAAGACAAAAGATACGAATACTGACTTAACATGTATGCTTCTTCAGACCCTCCATAATCTACAAATATGCTATTATATGCTACGCTCAAAGTCATCAGCTGGCAGGAAAATTCTGTGGAAACCCCCCCCCCTCCGTTGCTTGGCATAGCCCAGAGGGTTATGACCTACAGTTTAAGAACGCCTGGCAAAACTTGCTATGAATCCTATCTACATAATTGGTAGTAGTGCAGCACTCGAAAGGAGCAGGGGTAAAGCAGAACTAGTTTTCTGCAGTTACGTGCTTCTGCTGAAATGGGAGGCTGCTACTTCTTAAAAACTATATTTTCCCTTGCAGCCACTTTTCCAGTCCAATTTGCCCAAGCTGTACTGGGCAAGCTTTGGGTTGATCCAGATTCTCTCTAATGCTGCTGTTTTCCCTTTGTGCTTGCAGTGTGGGTATCGGAGATTATGCTCCAGCAAACCCAAGTGGCTTCAGTGATTAGTTACTACAATCGTTGGATGCAGGTGACGCTGAGTTCTTTTCCTCTCTGTAGCATATTAAAATTTACATTAACCAGTATTCTGGATTATTGTACATCTGTCCTGCTTTGCAGAGCCAGTAAACAAACACCTGTTTTTCTTTGTGATGTAGAAATGGCCAACCTTGCAGGAGTTAGCTGAAGCTTCATTAGAGGTAAAAAAAAATGAATATGTTTATGAATCTGCACACGTTCACTTAACTGTAAAGGAGAAGGGAAATTTACATGTGTGATCTTATCCTTCTTAGGTTAATTTGTTTTGTATCATTTCTGTTTGAGAATAGGAGGTGAATGAACTATGGGCAGGCCTTGGCTACTATTCTCGAGGAAAAAGGCTCCAGGAAGGTGCACATAAGGTACCCTAGACGGTGTTAATGAGTTAGTTACTGGATGAATGGGTTGGTGGTGCTTAACTTTGGCAAGAAAATAGTGTTAAATCCAAGAACAAACCAGCCAAAATCAGAACGAAAAAACAAAGACTCCACTGGAGTTGGGTGGCTAATAAATTTAAATAAATAAGCACAACCAAGGCCAGATTTCAATCATATTCACATTCCAACCATTATAAATGGGCTCACCCAACACATTGCCCAAGGCCAGGGGGAACAGCCCAGACTTCAAGATCTTACATAAGGCCAACATGATTGAGAATTATTAGTCTTCAACAGCATGTCTGAACCTCTTAGAGATGGAGTTTTTGATAAAAATGCCCTTGTGTTGAGAAATCCTATGGATATAGCACAGCATTGTGGTTTAGGGAGTATGGTTAGACCAGTGTTTCTCAACTGCTGGCTGGGGAATTCTGGGAGTTGAAATCCACACATCTTCAAGTTGCCAAGGTTGAGAAACACTGGGTTAGATATTCAACAACTAGTGCTGTTTGGCAAGTTTGCTTGCCACAAGATTTCCTAGCTTGTTTCTTTCCTTGGCTTTGAATTGCTTTATTCACTGATCTTTTACAGGTGATGTCACAACTGGCAGGTCATATGCCCAGGACAGCAGAAGAGCTGCAGAAGCTGCTGCCAGGAGTAGGGAAGTACACTGCAGGAGCTATTGCATCCATAGCATTTGGCCAGGTAATAAGGTCACATCATTTCTGGGTCTTTAATCTTGTGTGGACAGATAGCATTGGGCATCCATGTCTCCTGTTCTGCAAAAATGATCATTCCCAGCTCTCTGAATGTTCTCCCATCTAATTGTCCTTTGCAGCTTTAGGCTGCTCCTATTTTGATCCTGCTTACATGTTTAGAGACAGCAAAAAGGTGTCTCCCCTTGCTGGAAGGGCTTAGTGAGAAGATTAAATGTTTTTCCGATAGAATGGACACTACTCTCCCTGCTTTTACTTTTAGAAGGAATGGCTCTATTCATATATTTTTAATGGTATACATTAAGTATACAATTAGTAGTATGTGTTTTTATTTCTGTGCCATCCAGTAACTGAAGTTCTTTGGACCAATCACAAATATGTTAAAAAATTTAAAAAACCAGAAAAAAAATTAAAAGAATGTGAACAATAAAATGTAATAAATAGCACAAGAAAGGTGTATCATACATGTGCATGGACACACAAATATAAATCTTTTGATTCTAGCTTGGCTCCTGATGTCTACATGGACTATAAAATGCCTGGCAGGAAGAGTAGACAGTCTTAGCCTAGCACTGAAAATACATCAGTTGGGCAACAGGTGTGTTTCCCTGGGGATGGCATCCCATAAACTGGGTATTGAAAAAGGCCCGCCACCTGCCTCCCTTCAAGGGGGGGGGGCGGCGGGATCTGAAGAGACACCTCTGAAGATGACCAGGCAAATCTATACACAGCCTGTATGGTATTGTGGTTATCAGTATAACTAGAAGACTTGGTTGAAGTCTATCTCAAACATAAATGCTTGTTGGTGACTTTGGGCCAGATATGATCTCTCAGCTCATTCTGCCTCACGGTAGGGAATCACTGAAAGAGGGAATGTTATATATGTTGAAGGAAGGGTGAGATATCAATTTATCAGATCAGGGAGAGGCATTTATTTGACATATTCTGCCCCCAAATTGTATTCAGATGCCTTCATGTTTGTTTTCTAGTTCTGATCCTGTACAGCAACCCTTAAGGAAAGTCAGTATTATTATCATCCCTCATTTTGTAAATAGAGGCCCCAAAGCTGATTGAATATAGTTTATTTAGGACTACCAAGAAATTTCATGAGAGAAGGAGGACTTGAACTACTTTTTAGTCTTTATTCACTGCACTACACTCTCCACAAATTCACAGAGTTGATTCAAACAGGTTGTAAGTGCCTTTTGTTATCAATCAGCAT